CCCCAAAACCCCAAAACCCCAAAACCCCAAAACCCCTAAGGCTTAAGCCTAAATTGAATATTTAACTAAACTAACTAAAATGCAGACTGAACTCCAACTCAGGAACTTAACCAAATTCGAAGACTACCAAGAAGCTGAAGGAGAGGATTTTGAGAACGAGCAAGGTTACATTATGTAAGTCAAGAGTTATATCTGTTTGGAAACTGATTATTCCAACTTTTAGATCCAAGGAAGTTGACATCCATGAATACAAACTGGCTCAGCCAATCGAAGAACAAGAAATCAAAGATATTGTTGATTACTTCGGATTCACTAATTTAGACATCTGAGATAAAGTAAACAGACTTGTCAATTCGTACTGAGATTTGCAAGAAGCCAACAACCAACTTTGGACTCGGAACTGGGAGATAGCTAAGGAGTTACAAAAGACCAAGAAAGAAGCAATTTTTAACAAGGAAAATTTGCTTAAACATTTAGGAGGATGTAATAGTCTTGAGAAAAAGAGAGAGCTGAGATATTACAAATAGCCTTGTTGAAAAATATAAGAAGAAGTTTGAGAAATCAAGATCAATTCTCAACAAAGCAGCAATTTCTTGTAATATAGATTGTTCTTCTACTTCCAATAATGATGAGGCTGAAGAATCTAAGTCTGACTTATCTGATTCGATAAGTCCGTTCAATAAAACTCAAGAGCATCAAGACAAGGAGAATGTGCCATTGAGAGTCAACCAATTTTCAAGATCTAGATCCCAGAAACCTTCCTTCTCAAGCCAATTTTATAAGTCTAGGTCTATTCCATTCAAAGCAAAGAATGTTCGAGAGTAAGTTATTGACTTACTGAAATTTCAGATTTCAGTAATACCTTTGGCTTAATTTCTAATCTCATTCATTACAGCGGTTGTCAGGACTGAGAAAAGACCAAAGCTACCACGAGCCACTTGATTGAAACCATCTTGGGCAGGATAGAGACACTGAAGCAGGAATCCATTGTTGATGATATTGATGATTAAACTAGTGTTCAGTAAGATTTTAACCAAAAGGGGTTTTGGGGTTTTGGGGTTTTGGGGTTTTGGGG